AAAAAGTGTTGCATGTGGCTAAAAAGCTAAACAAAATTTTTAATAAATGCAGCGAAGCATCGTCTGCTGGCCAACTCCGTGCAACTTGCTATTCGGCTACTGCCACATTCCTGCTCCGTGCCCCCACTCTTCTTCACCATTTTTGGCCTTTTGGTCACTTTTGCAGTTGCATGTGGCACGCGTTGCCTTTTTGGCTCCTGTGCCTTGGTAGTCGTTGACACAACTGTTGCCCCGGACGGAGTCGACAGCTGGAGGCGGACATGGACGGAGACGGGGATACGGACATACCGACGGCTACGGAGTTGGAATACGGAGGTGGTCTCGGCCCGGTGGCAAAATGAAAAATCACAGCGCCGTGCCAGAAACTGCTCAGCTTGCCCATAACTATACGAAGCGAATATTTTTATTGTGCGGCTGCTGCTGCTTCTTCATCTTCTTGGTGTCTCTGCGTGTGTGTGTGTATGTGTGTGTCTGTGTTTGTGGCAAAGTCATATTCATTCATTCATTCAGTTCGTAGTTGCAACACATTTTTATGTGTCCTTTTTATGCGCAAAGTGTGAATGCGAATATTCTGTTGCTGTTACTCTTCTTGTTGTATTATTTTATATTATTTATATTCTTCTTTTTTCTATTTTTCATTTTTTTTCACCATTTTCATTTCCTATTTGCACATTTTTCACTTCTGTCCGTTGGCTTTTGATGCGTCCAGTTTGTGTTTTGTGCAGTTAAAAGATTTATAAATATGAATATTATACATTGTGGCATGAAATATGCAAATTTCAGAAATGGCCAAAGGAAATAGAAATGGTCAAAGCGGAACTAGCACCTCCTCTGCTGTTACTGTTCCTATTCCCTTTCCCTCTCTCCCATGGCCCAACCATGCTGGCCACTAGCTGGTCTCAGTATCTTCCAAACTATTTTTCTAGTTTTTTTTATTTCTATTTTGAATGCTCTCCATGCACGCAGATGCATTTAATGACCGGCAACAGCAAAGGACATGGCGTCTGCAAACCGGCTGCAACAAATGCAGTAAAGGGTCCGTTGGAAGCATTAAATCGAGAGTTGCAAACACCCTAAAGTTCGATGCTTAACTGTAGAGTTCAGAATGCCTTGGCTTAATTTAAAAAATATAAAAAATTATTTTTATATTCATAATTTTAACATTTGTCTTACAGTTGTTTAACTTAGATTATAATAAAGATAAAATTTACTTTGATAGATATTCTTTACTATTTAATTTTTCAAACATCATATAATCTTTTGATAGGTTATTCTTTTCTAAAGGCTTCATTTTTTATGATACACCTTTGGTAGTTAGTTTTGAAAAATAAGCAAAAAAAAGTGGTTTTATTTTGGAACTTTCGTACTTATCCGTCAAGAAATCGTAGAGTATACAAAGGGCACTATTACAATCGCCTCAAAAGATAACTGCTAAATAATTAATTGATGTTTATATTTTTTTCTGTGTGTATGTCGTTATTTTTTTTTTATGTAATTTTTTGCCACTTTTAAAAATTGGTTGCTATAAATCAGGCCGTTTTAATGCAAATGTTGTTGCAATTTTATGGCTTAAATTAGCAATTGTGCGAGCAGCCATTGGCAATTAATATTTATTAACAGGCGGCGCATGATTAATGTGCCATATTAAAATTAGTTATAGAAAAACACACCCAAACATACAAAAAAGAGAGACAAAAAGGAACCGAATGACATTTACAATTAAATTATTTAAAGTTAGCAATGCAAAGTTTAATTAATGCCACAATGTGAGCAATTATTCTAAGCCAATTGATCAGTTGTAGGATGGCGTAGGGAGCAGAGTGAAGGGTTCGGAGCATGGTTAGCCGCAACATTAAAATCAATTAAATTATGAAAATAATTAAAATAATTTAATGGCAGTACTGTTTCACTCGCTCGATGACAGCTGTAGTATTCAATTGGTTTACGCAATCGGAGTTAATTAATAATTCAATAAATTGCATAAAAGCCACTTAAAATTAGTTGCATGGAATTGTCAGCGTCATTGCATTTATAATGAATTAGAAATAATATAAATTATAAAGTGTGTCAACATCATAACAAGTACAAGATATTTCGACAAAACATAATTGAAAAATGAATAATAAAATACGTATAGATTTGCTAAAAGTTTGTACTGCAAAACTTTATTTATTCTTAGGCTAGGCTGTGATGAAAATGGGTATTCTACATTTGTAATATATTGGCTCGAATTTCATTTCTAACTACCTAAGGCAATATAAATAAAAATTTGAAAATGAAAGATATAAACTTTGAAAAATATTCTACCAAAGACAAATTGTAAAATTTAAGCACATCAAAATGGTTTCCCAGCCAATTGAAAGGTCATAAAAAGAGCACACATAATAGTTGACACACACCTTACAAATTTAGCCGGATATATGACGAACAATCGGAAGCTTGCTGACTTCTAGTATAAGTGTTCTGTGCATTCGAAAGCATAGCAAAAAAGTTCCAGCTAAATCATCATTTGCTCTAAATGAATCCTCAAATGCGGTCATAAATTTTGTGCAAGTAGTCGTCTTCAAACTTCTCAACAAGATTCGTGGCCCGTTTTACGATTCTCAGTTTTATTTGCCACACGTTGCCATTCTCCAACGCATTCCCATTCGTATTCGTATTCGTATTCGCTTTGTCAATCATCTCATCAGAATCATCAGCTGCCTGCCAAGTGGAGATACTCAAAAACTTTGATGGATTTATATGCCTCTCTGCTCTGCTTGGGGAGGATTATGTTAATAGCCAAGTTGGAATTAGCCTGCAAAGGATTTCTCTGCGTGTGCTGCATTAAAATTTATCGACTGACAGTCTATATGACTGCTGCGTATGTAAATTGATTGTGGCTCATGAACAAAGCCGCCGGCTCAAGTAGCGAGCACATCTCTCGTAAAGTTTGTCTTTGCACAATTATGACTTTTAGCAGGCAACTGAGTGGCCTCATCTGGCCAACGGGTTTTTAGGGTTTTACGACAGTGACATAAACCCAAAGTGGCCACAATGCAACCGTAAATTTTGCGACTTCATATCAAATTAGAGCAGCTCTCTGCATTCACCAAATATGTTAAATATGCTCTCCATCTCACCGATTGAACTTAAGCACAGTTTGGCTGCAAATAAGAATGAGCGCAAGTACATAATTAAACTTAATGTTATTAAGCATTTCCACAATAGATCCTGCCAATAATAAAAATAATTATAAATATTATATGTAAATTAAATATCTTTATTTTCAAAGCTTAAAATCAAAACTATTTATTTTTAAAGTTTTCAAAATATTTGTAATTTTTAGCATGCTATATTTTTCTAAATAAATCAAAATCACTGAAATTATATTCTCTATGCACTTTTCATTTGTTTGTCCTTAAAATATTTATATGTTTTCATTATGAATTGAATTTAAGCGAAAAATTTTGTGGTTGAAAGTTTACTTTATTTGATTAATATTTTTGTATTTAAATCAGTAATCTTTACATTTTCCTTTAAAATAAATCGTCAACCATTCAATTGTTAAAATTCGTAGCTTAATGCTGTAATTAAGGTAATCCTATACATTGTTTAATGTTAACTGCACAGATGAGCTGCTCATTCATTCCCACTCTCTCTCTCTCTCTCTCTCTCGTTCACCCTCTATATATCTCTCTATCTCTCTCTCTCTCTCTCTCTCTCTCTCTCTTGTTTGTGTATTTCTCCCCGCGATTTTAATGCAATTAGCTGCCTGCGGATTTGACCGCTTACAGCTTATTGTAGCATACTTTTCAGCGCGACGAATGGCGAATATTTTGAGTTTTGCATATTTCAATGACATACGGCAAACTTGACTTGGTATGCATTATGCAGTCTATATAGTGCATGCAGTTTTTATGGCTGTTGTTGTTGCAGTAGTTGTTGTTGTTGGAGTGCTGTTGGCTGCCGTTGTTGGCTGCTGCCTGCATAGAATTGTGAGAGATGCGTGCTGGCCAGGCCATGACGCCAGCGGCAGTCAATTTGCTTGTTTACAATGCCACACACTCATACACGTGCAGTCCATGCACACATTCATACACACACACATACACTATGACAAATCGCAAACAATTACAACAGCGCGACGTTGTCTTTCAGTTGTTGCTTTTTCGCCGCAATAAATACAATTTGCATGACAAAATAGCAAACAACTGCAACTTTTGAGTGTGTGTGTGATGTGTGTGTGTGTGTTTGTGTGCTGGTGCTGGTGTGCTTGTGAACGTCTGCAGGTTCACTCAGCCAAACAACACTACTCACAAAAACAATCAACTGGCAGTGCAGTCCAAACAACAACAGCAACAACAACAGCAACAACATTAGTTAGGCTTTATCCTGAGCTGCCGCTTTTGCTCGGCCTCTTCTTCATCCTACTACAGCTTCTGCTCCGGCTTTTCTGTGGAACAACTTATGAATATTCAATTTAACATAAAAGATTTTGTAGTTATTTTGATTTCTTCTCGTTTCGTCTCTTGCTCTATCTCTCTCTATCTCTATCTATATCTCTCTCTTGTCGTCTGTCGCCCTCTCTTGCACTCAGTAAACTTCATGGGTGAAACGAACTCATGCATGCTATGAAATGTTAAAAATATTGGATAGGCGAACTGGTCATCGAAGCATCGACGTAACAACAGCAGCAGCATACACTGGAAACAATCTACGACATATTTTATAATAAGTGAATTTACTACACAACGAGTAGCTGACTGTCAGGAACAGAACGACTTAAATAAATATTTGAACTTATCGGCTTGGGAGATTATTTTAATTCATATTCCCAAAATGAATATACAAAACAATAAACCGAAATTAAAAAGAAATATATTAATGCTAACAAAATATATATTTTGTATTTTTCAGACCAATTTAAGAATGGTCTTTTCAAACGATTATTAGATTATTAGCTTAATTATGCAAATCCAGAATATATAATATATATCAAAGTCTCTTTTCACATTTTTCTATTAAAACTCATAATTTTAATTCGAATTTTCAGACAACAAATTAGACAATACGCATTAGAAGCAGTTAGCCAAAATTTTGAAAACAATTTAATCAAATTCCGCATATGATGAAAATCATAGACAAGCGATGCCCAAACGGAAATATCTTCAATTATGGTTACACAAACTAGTCAAGATCGATATTTTTAGCCAGATAGGTGTTGTCAGTGTGCAGCTTGGACATATCCATAATGACCAACGATTTCAATAGATCCTCCATGCTGATGACCAGCTGGTTATCGTCTACAATCTGTTCCTCGATAGCGTTGCCTTCCATGACTAGAAGGTTGCGCATAAATTGCCGCATGCGGTAGATGCTGGCATGACGGCACAGCTCTTTTAGATCGGAACCTGAATAGCCAGGTGTAAGATTTGCCAACCGCTTGAGATCGACAGCCGGATGCAGTTGCTCCTGTTGCAGGATGATCTGAAGTATGGCTAGTCGCTGGTTCTCTAGCGGTAGTCCGATGTGAAACTGAGCTGGCATCCTTCGCAATATGGCCTTATCCAGATCTTGTGGCCGATTTGTTGCGCCTAACACAAGCACCGAGCAGCTGTTGCTGCTAATCAGCCCGTCCCACAGCATCATGAACTGTGTCTTCATCATAGCCGTTGCCTCATGATCTGCAGTTGTGCGCACGCGCAAAAACGACTCGATCTCATCGATGAAAATAATGCAGGGCTGCAGCTTGCGGGCCAAGGTAAATACAGCAGTGGAAAGCTTCTGTGATTCGCCGTACCACTTGTCCGCCAACAATCCCACATCCAGATTGATGAAGCGCATGCTCGCCTCCTTGGCAATCGCCTTGGCAATCAGCGTCTTGCCACATCCAGGCGGTCCATAGAGCAAGACGCCTTTCGGTGGCCGCCACAGCTGCGAGCGCTGAAAGAGATCGCTGTGACGCACGGGCAGCACCACAGACTCCCTCAGCTCCTGTATGACCCCATCCAATCCGGCAATATCTGACCAACTGACATCAATGTCCATTGGCGCTACCAGTTGTGAGGCTATCATCAGCTCATAGCAATTGAAGTCGCTCAGTTTTAATTTGCGGCCCTTGTCCGTCATCGCATTGAGCTTCCTCATCTGCAGCTTTGCCACCTCTTTGGCCTTCTTTTTGGCCTTAGTCGTCGGATCTATGGAGCTCATCAACCATTTGGCGAAGCAGAATGTCACGATCGCAGCGATGCCAATCCTCACCAGCTGCATCACAATTTGGCTGCTAGACCTCTGAGGCCCTTCCATAATCTATCTATATTGTTAAAAAGCACGTTCAATAATTTTCCCAAAATCTTCACAACCTGTCAGCTAAGTAAATACAATCAATTTGTTGCTCTGGAAAATATGCCATTAGAAAATGGAAAGAATATGTGTGCTATTTGAGATATGGGAGATCTTAAAGAAACTTTCTACCAGAATTTTAAGTTATTCATTTTTTTTAATTCATTGACTTAAAGATATGAAGAACTTAATTTATTATTACTTATTTAAAATTAAAAGTGGAAGTAAAATTAAAATTTAAAATAAACTAAAATATAAAATATATTAAATGAATTTCAATCTTTTAATTATTATTTATTTTTTCATTTTTATGAAACTGATTTTTTTCTTCAACTTTCAGCACTCAGAAAGACAATTATACGTAAATATCAATAAATGCTGTAATGCATTTGTCTCAGTGAATATTTTCAGTACAGCTTTGCCCAGGCTGCGCTTAATTTCTGTTTAACTTTTCCTGTTTGCTCTAGCCCAGATAAGGCAAAAAATGTTTTTCTAGTTTACCATCTTTTAGCGGAAGTCAATGTTACAAAAGATAAACTTGTCCAGCCATCTGCTGCTGCTTCTGTATTCTGTCTTCTTCCTTCTAGTGACTGCGCGCGTGTTGAATGCGTACCGGACCCAACAAGGCTGAGGGGCAAACCGTTCAGGAGCACAAGTATTAACTAAACACTGCAGCAATTTATCTTACTCTCACCCCAGCAACCCCCCACCTCTAAGCCAAACTTCGCTTTTGTCCAGCTAAGCGCGCGTAGGTCAGTTTTGTTTTAAAGTTTCTTAAGTCGCATCTTACATTCCCCCAGACATCCCCCTACCATTTACCCCATCCACGATGCACCCCTGCTTGAGCGGAAGTATCTGCGCACTGTTGTTTTGTGCTTCCTTCCGCATTACAAAAGAATTACTCAACACAAAATGTCTGGCCAAAGTTGGCCAAGATGAGATGCTAAATATTCGCTGGGTCAGCGGCGACTTGCCCAGGTGCCAGACAGCCTTTATTAGCGTGTCAAAAATACAAAAAAATAAAAACAAATCAAAATAAAACAATATAAAGTCTTAGTGAGACGGTCCGCTTATTAAAAATATTCTTAACTTTATTTTTTTCATTTCTTATTAAATCCTGCTTCAGCTGTGAATATGAAAAAAATTAAATTTTTCCGTAGTGGATTAGAATAAGCAAAGAAATAAAATGGATTTCCCAAACAAATCTGCGAATTGCGCTTAAAGGATTTTTAAATCTTAAGAAAAATATAATTATAATAAAATATAACTTCAAGCAGACATCCCCAAAATATGCAATGTATTTGACCTCAAAGTGAAAAGTCATTTACCAAATAATCGAAGTAATAAATTATTCATTATTGATTATAATCATTAATTAAAAGATCCAGACACAGACAGAAAGCAAACATAAAATTGATAAAAATGGAAAATTAATTCAAGAATGCATATTAAAAGCAAAAAGAGCAGAACATATTTAAAACAAAGAATATTTTCTAATTCAAAGTCTGTTTATTATATTAGTATATTTTACTTTATTTAAGCATTTAAATGAGCATTATTAAAATGTGCTCCCAAAAAAACCAATCTGAGAGTATTTTAATAAATTTAACTTCTGATTCTGCTGGTAATCCTTGAATTTCTGTGAAGATATTTTATTTCTGACTAGTCTACTGCTGATCCTTGTTCATAAAAACCAACTCTGCCAAGATTTTCGCTAACGACCATATTTCCTTAGCTGCCGCCAGCTGAGCACTGAGTGCTTGTTGTGGCCCTGTTCTTTGTTTGACGAATTCGGTACTCTCTCTATGCAAATTTCTCGGGTGCCTTATTTAAGCTCGTTAACGTCTGCCTTCTATGCGTCGCCAGCTACTATTCAAGAGTTCATAAAAATCACTTCAACTGTGCAATATTTCATGATTTTGCGTCAATCTTTTGAGAGCCGCTCAACGTCATGCAGAATGTCTTGCTGCCGGACTCCTTATTCCTCCTCCCACACACCCCGCACCAGCAGCGACTCACTCTTTATGTGCGTCAAGTTCGCTCGTTCCTTCCACTGAGCACACGAAAATCTAATTATATGTTTTGTTGTTGCTGCAGTTGTTTCTGTTGCTGAAGTCGCTTTCACTCACCGACTTTTGTCACAGTTACAATATGACAAAACAACAAAAATTTAGTAAAAAGACAAAAAAAATTGAAGGAACGAGCTGAAGATGTGAAACACTTGAATATGTATGAACATATAATGAACTCAAAACAAAAGAAATTAGTTGGGAGCCTTTAACATGGGTAGTTGCAGATTAAATTTAAAAAAATATATATATAAAAAATTACTAAGTACTAAACATAAAAGGGCTGTGATACTAAATATGAGGAAAGCATATATTTTAGGGGTAAACCATACATCAAAATAAAATATGGTATTTATTAAATTTAAGCTACAAATTAATATGGATTACATTTTGAATTTGAAATAAATAATATGAGCAACACATACTTTTTGAGTAATTCAAAAGCATTAATTTATTATTCAAGTCTTTTCAGATACTTGTCAAATTGACTGGTAGAGCGTAAATCAAAATAATATGTTATACTAATTGAATTTAAGTTAAGAATTTATATTGCTCTTTTTTATATAAATAAAATTTTAAATTTTAAATAAACAATTGATGCAAGAAAAAGTCATCAGCTTTTGTCGAATTCATAATACAAATCTCTTATTTCGCATTTTTTAATATTGATTGAGTTTCCAATTATCTGTAAATAATTACTTCTTAACATCAAAAGTTTTAATTTATCATACAAGTCTCTTCAGATAGTTTCCAATCTTGAATTTATTTTAAAGTTGGATTTCTGAAATTGTTCACTAACCAAACTAATGAAATCTTGACCAACTCACTTTATAAAAGCATACCGTGATTATTTTTCGACCGTCTCTTAGATTTTAAAGCTTGATTCTCAAGCACTTTCTTTACATTTAACAAAACTAATTAGAAATCATGATGAGCTTTTTTCTAAGAGCATTCCACAAAAGTCTGTTGACAGTTGTTGGCGTCGCGCATAAGAAAGCAGCATAAAAATCACACGCTTTTCATAAAAATATTTTTGCTACTTATACACCCCGCTCCTTCTTCCCAGTCCCTTTCCAGTTGTTCCGTTTCGCGTTCGTGTTCATAGTTATTGCCTGGCTTACTTTCCTCCTTCTGTCAGCGGCATCACAAAATATGCGAATATCTATGTAAAATTTACCACCGCCGAAAAACTGCGAATTTTCGTTGGCAAGTAAAGTGGCAAACGCAGTGAAACGGTGTGCCAGCAAAAAACGCACAGAGAACTGCAAAAACTTTGCATCATTGAAGTTACACACTCAAACACCCTCGCTCTCTCCATACCAAAACCAACAGTCTCATCACATTTATTTTCCATTTGCCGCCACTGCTGCGGTATTTGTTTATTGTTGCTCAAAGTTAGGAATGTAATATTTTGTGCCTCAACTGAAATTACAATATTTAATATAACTTGGATTTTTAATTACACAGAAGTATAATTGTAAATGAGTTCTAAAAAAAAATAGCACAGTGAGACCCAGTCTTTTGACGTTCAACTCTCAAAAATAGTTTTCTCCATTAAGACTTTAGAGTTTACAAACAGTAACTGCTGGGTATAAATAAAATGTAAGTTATTATATATATACTGAAATGCAGTTGTGTTGATTAAATATTTTCATGGGAGCAACCAACAGACTGCCAACAGTTCTGTCTTAGTCTGACTGGAGTTTCTCCAATATATGATTAACTTAACTAAACATTTGTCACATCTCAGAACTATAACTATAACTATAGAAATCAAAATTAAATAATACTATTATTTTCAATGAAATCTAATTTTATGCTATTTATTTTGTATTGTGTACAACTAAACGCTTTAAATAATTTTTATTTCAAATACCTTGCGTATTCTTAAGTTACGAATCTGTGCTTGGAAAATATACACTTGGTCGCCTATTGTTAAGCTTCAGTTCCTGAGATATTATTGATGAGTTGTCATTTGATTGCAAGCCATCGGTGTGACTGCTATCCTGAATTCTAGTCATGATCTTTTTGTAGAGCGCATCCACATGTGGCGCCAGATATACATCCAGACGGATATGATTCTCTATGCCATGAAGCAGCTGCACGCAGCTATCAAATTTGTTACCGATGAACTTGAGTAAAATGCCCCACATGTCGGGCGATAGATCAAAGAAGGGCCTAAGCGTTACTGAATTAAGACAGCCAAGCTGCAGCATCTCTAGGTCCAGAGTAGCCAAACTGCACAGGCCTGCATAGTATGCCACATCTTGTGGCGCCACAATCTTATCATAGTCATAACCCTCAAAAGGCGTCAAGAGAAAACATTGCGCTGCCGTCTTATAAACCTTGAGACCCATATTGGCCAGACCTGCTGCACAGCTGAGCTGGGCGGGCACCGCCTCCATCAGATCAGGGAAGCCCAACGCATACTGTTTGGCCTCCTCGATGTAGCTGAGCACATGCCACCAATTGGCCATGTAGATGGAAACACGTATCAAGTTGCGAAACATGTGAATCACATTATCGCTGCTAGTGCAATAGGGCCTGGCACGGGCATAGAACTTGATGGCCAACTGAAAGTTGCCACTCTTTACGTGGTAGTCGCCTATCTCTTCGAGGATGCGTCGCACATAGGCGCTGCCCGAATTAGATTTCTTGAAATTGAGCTCAGCATCGAGCTCCTGCAGCAACAGTGTCGCCTCCATTGTATTATCCTCCACCCAATAGGCGTCGTAAAGATGCGCTTCCGATTTTGGCTTAGCTTTCGATGTTGATGGACTCGCTGCCTCACTCGACTCCGGGGTGACCACGCTGCGTTTCCTTTCCATACAGAGTTTACGGTAAAGTTCCTCATACATTTTCACATTATAAGTCTTCTTTACATTATTGATAGCCAACTCCAGAGCCTCCACACGCAGCTTGGGACACACCTGCGCGATAAACCTGAGCCGCATCAGACGCGCAATATCCGTATATCGTTTAGCATAGCTGATAAGAACGATTTGCGGCCCTTTCACAATGGGACATTGTACAGCATTCAGTGGAACACTGTTACTCGCCTCCGCCTCCGACTCTTCCTTCTCTTCATTATTCCCATCCTCCTCCTCCGCCTCGGTGACCACCTGGCAAACGGAACCAGAAATCATCTGTACTTAGCCAAAATGTTCTGTCGCTAATCGCTTGGCTTGCCTATATTTTAAACATTGAGATTTGAGCAGAGCTCCAGACAGACAAATACAAATAAAACAATGAGTTATATGCCAAACATTACTTAGCTTAGAAGATCGACCAATTAATGTAACTAAGTTGTCTTCCTAAAAACGTCAATAGATCTCATAGATCAAGAAAAAAAGAATAAGTAAGAAATACTTTATATAATTTTTTTGATATCATTAAGTTTGTACTTCAATAGCAGATAATTACGAGAAACTGAACTCTGATTGCCCTGAAAGAAGAGTTCAAAGAAAACATGAATAGTTGGCTTAATGTTAAGAAAGTTTCAATTGATGCGGCGACAATATTATATCACTAATCTTTTAGTATTTATATTCTACATTAATATTTTAATAGAATTGATTTTATATTTTGTTTAGCAAGATGTGAATTTTTAGTAATAACAATAAAGGAGATTGAATTCTTGTCTAATACTGTCTTTTGTCTTGATTATCCAAAGCTTTTAGACACTTTTGAAATACTTTTTTGGCGTCAATTGAGTTCCAGGACTCTGGCTGAAAAACAGACACTGCACAAGCCCCATAGACTTTCGCCTTTGATGTGGAGCATTAAAAAAAAGGCGGAAATTCAAACGATTCAATAAGCTGCCATTTAACGCATGTCAAGCATGTGAGTTAGGCAATCTGACCGACAGGTGGCGTGACAAGCTGCAACTACATGTGTATCGTGAAGACTTGAAATGATCTGAGCTCAATTTGAAGAAAATTCTCATGTATCTGCAGATGCGCAGCAACCAAATTCCATTACCCAGATACAAATCAAATTGCCAAATGCCATTTGAAAGCAGGGGGCACAGAATGGTAGAAGAATGGAAGTCTGCTTTCCTTTTCTAGTTGGCTAGATGTATGCAAAAATCAAATAACCCAAGCTTGAAAAATCGCAGACATCAGAGACACATAAATCAGAGGCGGTAACTTCAAAAGACCAAAACGAAACCAATGGAATTGTTACCGCTATTTAACGGTTTATTGATGCGTCGCTTTAGCTGAATTTATTGGCTTGGTCGTTGGCCATTTTTATGCTAGCCAACACCTGCCCATAACACAAACCACACCACTTCTCACCCAGCCCAGAGAACAACTGCGAAGTGGAAATGCAAAGTGTAAAGCTTGGAAACGTGCAAAATGCTTGAAATTGATTTGACTTGGTATTTGTCTGGGGCTGCCCAAGTAGCCCATTTCTCAAACAGAAAAATGCCCGACGAGGTGTTGATAACGCTGCTAGCCATCAAAGAACCAAAAAAAAAAAAGAAAGAAAATAAAAATAGTCAAAAGATAAAAGGAGAACATCAACAAAAGCCAATTATTGTAATCAATTTACTTTTAATGATGAATGACGCTATCGATATTATTATAAGAATATTCAATTTTATAATTTTCATTTCATTTCTTTATAAATTGGCACCGCTTAAATAACTTCTTGTTAGCAAATAAGAAAACCTTAAAACTATTCAAATATTAATAAAAGAGTATTATAAATTGCACAACTAAGCAGTTTGTGAGTATTAACCAATCTATCATTTATTTTCAGCTAAGAAGTAAATTTTTTCGTTTTAACAAGAAAAACGACGTATTCGATGGCATTTCTGATTTGTAACCTTTTAAATGAGTAATAATCACGATAGCAGTTGCCAATAACATAGTTGAAAAGTTGATCAACAAATGCATTTGTAGTCAAACTTCAGCAAGACATAATTCGTTAGCAAGACAAGCAGACAAAATGAACAGAGACTGGTGGCATGGCAACAATGAAAAGACGGAGACGCCGCCGCTGACAGCAATCAAAGTCACAAAATGTTTGCAATTGGCATGTAAAAGCCCAGTTGCTGAGGGGAGTTCGGCATGTGATTGAGGGAATTCTGGGGTCGAGCACTCGCGTTGTTTACTCTCTAGCATCGCTTTCAGTTTTGCGCTTTCGGCGCGCGTAAATTTCTAATTTCATTAAATAGTGCATTGAAGGTTTGGTGGGGCAGAGGGTGGATTGTAACGTTGCCCAGACGTTGACAGACAAAAATCGACAATAGACGTCAACACACGATAGCTGGTAAGGGGGGCGTAAGGGGGGCGTGGTCCACTCCGCGGCCGACAGCTTTGGCAATCAAAATGCGCCGATCAAAGTAGAAAATCGATTTTAATTGCAATCTAGCGTCGCTTAACGCTCGATTGTCGGTCGAATGGTCGAAAGAGGATGGGGATGGTGGGGGCATGGCCTGTCCTGCCTTTAGAGCAGTGTGCGTGGCAATTGCTTTTTGGCAACGTCATCGCAACACACACGTCACAGACAAAAAAGAACCTATCGAGATATTGAATCAAAATTTTGGATGCCGCAGCGCAGATTCGCATTGGATGATGTCCCGGACCAGACACTGTCGATGTTTTGACTAATGTGTCGCCATTTGTAGCGTCACTTCCCACTTGTCACTCCCCCCACACACACACAAATCCGCACACACTCGCACAACATATTCAAAGCCATTAAAACTACGCGACAATCGTCGCTCAAAGGCATTTCGATCCGGCTGTCAAATTTACAAGAGCCCAATTACGATGCGCCTACCCATATAAAAATTGACAGCAAAAAAGCTGAACGTCAGACTGAACATTAATTATCGCATATATGACTGGAAAAGAATGAGAGTCTCATCATATATTAAAAGCATAAATATCGATTTGTGCAAATTTCCCATATCTGCCTTTGTTAGTGTTGATTATATTTAAGTATTTTTGATAGATATGGCAAAGAGATAAATGAAAAAATATGCAAGAAGTCACCGAATAAAAGAATCGTAGAAAAATGTGGCGTATTCGGAGAGTAGCATAATTTTAATGTCTAGACTACAGTTAATAATATGGAGATGGATAAACAATTTTAGTTTAATTTAATTCAATTATTTATAAATGAATATTAACTAAATAATTTCAATGTATGCATATACCAAAAATAAAAAGGCAAGACTTAATCTCACCGACTCAAGAATGAAAAAAGGAAAAGACTATTTTCATATTGTAAATAAAATTAAATTTTGAGACTGCAGTTATTTGTATATTTTATTAATATTGCTTGAGATGAATTTGAAGCTTTAATTTAATTTATTTATTTAAAATATGTTATGTTACATTTTATTTTATTGTATTTATATTCAAAGCATTCCTTTAAGAGATTCACTACTTGCTTTTAATATACAATATTTTGATAGAATGCTTAAATAATTTATTTTGTTTTATTTTTGATGTCCAATTTGAAATTGTATTTTATGTTTAAGTATATATTTTCCGCAAATATTTTCATTTGGCAACTCAAATTGAATTTATCTAGTGGCTTCATTTATATTCATAGAGATGGAATTTTATTTATTTATTTCAAGCTTAACATGTTCTGTACTCAGTATTGTTGTATTTAAATTTATATCCATCTTTTAATAGCTTCGCTACTTGCATCTAATATGCAATTTATTGATGGAATGCTTACTGAATTCACTTTGTTCTTTTTATACTTTGCAATTTGAAATCATATTCTATATTTAAATGTATATATTTAAAAGGATATCCTCACACCCCCAACCTACCCTCATAACTGACCTACCTCCATCCTGTCCTAATTAATCTTACCCGGCTAATTCTGCAGCTCGTGGGAGCAAACATGAAGAGCTCTAGAAATTTCACAGGATCTCCCTCCGAAGAATGTCGCTAGACAGATAGAAAACCGGTGGGAGGCCCTCGGTGGTGGTAGACCATCCTCCACAACATGATACCCCAGCACAAAACAGAAGAGTGCCGCAGGAGCAAGATAACCGAAGTCAACTAGGAATAGATGTAGTATCCAAGGGATAACAATTTAGTGAGCTATAAGCTCAGAAGGGGGCACAGTAGATGTGGCAGGTCAATGTGCATATATAATACAATAATAATAATAATTTATACATACATTTTCGCTTGATAGAAATCCGTTGCAGAGTAAATGCAATTAATTATTTATGTTTCATGCACTTTTGCCCTTTTTTGTAGTCCTTTGTTGTCCTTGCACTTGACTTGACGCACAGACGCTAAGGACGACGTCCGTTTGTTTGTGTGGCACTTGAAAATGGCCTGCTAAAAATGGTCTGACTGTGCCACTATGCGTCTGTCCGGCCGACTGGCTGTCGTTCTACTCATAATTGTGATCAACAAAATGAGCAACAGTTTGCGCCACAATATGTGCCATTTAATTATTTTTCAATTTAATTTCCCGCTTTGACCCATTCACTCTGGCCGCAGGAAATTAACAGCAATAGACGAGGAGAAAGCAGAAAGCAGACGCTCATCACTCTGCCTTTTGACGCTGTCCTCGAGCAGGACAATGCTGTTGCTGGTAGTGCTGCCGATGCTGCAATGCGTCAACTTGCCACGCCCCCTTTCACACTGCTGCACTGCCTTTGGTTGTTGTTCTAATTAGGTTTGGTTTTTGCGCTTAATGTCTGTTGCGGTCAGCTGTGGCTCTGGGGTTAGGTATATTTTTTATCGGCTTGCTCGCACTTTCCGCCCTTTTCTTTGCATTTATTTTCCAACTTAACAAGTTCTTTATGATGTCAGCAGTAGAAATTAATTTTTTCGCTAGATGTTTTCCTCCTCAAGGCTTCACACAAGTTGTTCCTTTGTGAGTGCTGCAAACTCTTTTGCATATTTTCAACTTATTGCAGTCATTTTCTCAGATGTCTTTTAATTTTCACGCACTGTCGATCTAAGTAAATTTAATTGCATATTCTGCAATGACAAAATTTAGTAGACTGAAAATCAAGCCCTTAAATTTTCACTCATTATGTTGTTTAACTTTCGTATCAGTTTGTATTTTCTTAAATATTAATAAATTATATTGAATTGCATATTTTAAACGAAAATGCAGCAAACTCAATCATTAAAATATTATTAAAATATCCCAAAATTTCATTCGCAAATTATAGCGAGCATCTCTCAAGTTTACCCCATG